TTTGGCGGGTCAGCCAAATTATTGCCGCGGGTCACTTAGTGACCTAATGGGTCATAGGTTGCCGACCACTGATCTAATCCATGTCCTGTATATTGGTTCAGTATAATCACAGAGCGAGTTTTGCCGTCCCTGTACTACAACCTTCTAAAGATTTTTCTCATACTCAGAACGCATCTTGAGTATTCTGTTAAACAAGCGAAAGAGTAAGGTTTCTAGTACAACCAAACAAGTAACGAACATAATAACACAGAAAGGTTAGAGCTGCACACTGAACACATGTATAATAATAATAAAGTACAAACACCGTGTTCGGGTATAACGTTTGGCGAATAGCAGTACTATTGGTTTTGTCAATCTGAGCGGCGGCTCGTGCGCTAACAGCGAACCCTAGAGTCAGGTGTATCAGTCTGTAAGTAATAACTGCTAACCAGATGGAAGGTAGCCAATCAGTAGCACCCAACGGCATAAAAATGTTGCCCGCCTTTGAACAGAATAACAGAATTGACTGTCTCTCCTATAACGCACATACAGTTGGAAATGCGAAACACGTTCAGTGATCTCGCAGTACGAACCTTGGACCTCCTAACTGCAGCCCGGCATGCTGAACGCTTGGGTACGCTCGACCCGACTAAAATAAGAAGTGACATAGATAAATAAAACTCGTCTATCAAAAAAAAAACATTGTCGTAGCTAGTAAAGATATATCGTTCTTGCAAATGTACATTAAACACTCGAAAAGAATTACATAACGAAGGGAGAAGAGGCATCTGGTTAGTAATTGGAGATATTTACACTATTTTATAAGCACAGATGGCACTGATACAGAGTTACGTTTGTTTGTTGTTGAGCACAAAGACACACAATAGGCCATCTCTACACTCCCCGACGCGAATATAGAAACCCGATTTTTGGCGTTATAAGCCATTAGGCGAACATTATCAACAGATTCCAATAGTTAGAATTATATGAAAACGTTTTCGTCATAACACCAAAACAGTTTCGTCATGACATCATCATTATCAAATAGAGCCAAACGTCTTCTTTTTGTCTAATCAAAACAATTCAAACCTTATTTGAAATTACCCATTTTTGGGATCCACTTGAAGATGCCGGGCTGTCTCGTGTGGCACGTGTTAAAACTCTAACACGTTACTTGTGCTTTTGTTACTGATTTGTTAGAGCTACTTATGCGTGTAGATCCAACTTTTGTTACTATATTGGTAAAAAAAATAGAGACTTTCCAGAATTACTCCATGACATTTAACTTATACTGTAAGACCCATACCCCTAGTAACTAGTAACAGTTTGAAGCGGAGATAAGAATTATATAAATTTAAAAATCGGCCATAAGCTAAAAGAAAATAAAGATATGTGTTCTTCTATTTGCTGTGCACACACACTGTAAACTGTGTGGTCCTTCGGTTGGTTAGTGGTCACTTTAACTGTGTGGTCCTTCGGTTGGTTAGTGGTCACTTTAAGTGTGCGGTCCTTTGGTTGGTTAGTGGTCACTTTAACTACGTGGTCCTTTGGTTGGTTAGTGGTCACTTTAACTATGTGGTCCTTTGGTTGGTTAGTGGTCACTTTAAGTGTGTGGTCCTTTGGTTGATTAGTGGTCACTTTAACTGTGTGGTCCTTCGGTTGGTTAGTGGTCACTTTAACTGTGTGGTCCTTCGGTTGGTTAGTGGTCACTTTAACTGTGTGGTCCTTCGGTTGGTTAGTGGTCACTTTAACTGTGTGGTCCTTCGGTTGGTTAGTGGTCACTTTATAGACTTACAACTCTAAAATCCATAGCTCGATTCCCCGAGGTGGATTTGTTTGAGGTTAAGCACAGAGCTCTGCCCACCACGGGTATCGAAACGCGGTTTCTAGCGTTGTAAGTCCGCAAACATATCGCTGTGCCACTGGGGGTCCCGAGGTAGAAAGAGCCAGTTAGTCTACTGTGAAATTTTGCGCTATAAAAGCGAGAGTTGTGAAACTGAAATGTTTAAATATATATATATATAGTTTCTAAATTATTATTTGTGTACGGCAAAACAGCAGACAACTCTATAATTTTAAGGGAAAGTTCTAAAATTATACGTTGCTAATTAACTTATTCATTCTAAAATATATTGGGATTTTATTAGAAAACTTTTATTACCCAGTTAAGTACGTTTTTTATTCATTTTCATTTTAAATGACATGTTAATAACGTGAAATTTTTTGTGACATTTTTAATTATGAACATTTCATTTCGAGACAAAAATATGAATAAGTGGAAAGTTGACAGCAGGTCTGATTGTTTTTAAAGTATTATTATCGTAATAACATTTTGGACCAATAAGGTGTATATTTTCCTTTTCTTTTCAATAGATAAAATTTCTTCTTCGACAACGTTTTTCTGCAGTTACACGTGTTTGAGACTTATGTAGTACATATAACGTTTGCAGTTACACGTGTTTGAGACTCATGTAGTACATATAACGTTCGCAGTTACACGTGTTTGAGACTCATGTAGTACATATAACGTTTGCAGTTACACGTGTTTGAGACTCATGTAGTACATATAACGTTTGCAGTTACACGTGTTTGAGACTCATGTAGTACATATAACGTGGTGATATTTGGTTTTGAAATACGTGACTTTTGTTTTCGAATTCGTCACGCGTTGCCAAAATCATTTCCTCTGTTACGACAGCGGGGGTTACGTGACTCTAGTAACACGTCATATTCTCGAAGGTTCCTGAAGCCTCGAGTGTTTACTAGATGTACGGTATTCTTGTATATAAGACGGCCAAGAAGTGACGGCAACAATGGAATGTAATTGAACTGCAGAAAGAGATAGAGACGGACAGTTGAGTCGAGCACGTGAGTCGTTCGTTGTGAATTATAGCGTTTGTTATAGCGTTACTGTGAAAATAAAGTGTATCGCAAAGTTGTATTCAGAAAGAATAAACCAGTTTTATTTAAGAAAGGACTTGTATCGCTAAAGTTTCTTCAGAAAGAATTTTTACGGAAAATTAACTAACGACCAGAGACGTAACAAATTGATGTCAGAAGTGGGATAAAAAAAATGGAAACGAGAAGCGGCAAATCAAACTACAGCTTAGCAGCTTTGATGGCAACAATACAAGAGCAGCAAAAGAAACAAGAAGAGAGATTACAGCATTTGCAAGAAAACCTGCAACAGTGGCAGCTGGAACAGCAAAATAAACAAGAAGAGAGAGATTACAGCAGTTATTGGAGGAAAAAGAAAAGAAACAAGAAGAGAAATTACAGCAGTGGCAACTAGAACAAGAAAGGAAACAGGAAGAAAGTATCCAACAGTTGCAGGAAAGTCAGCAGGAACTACAGGAAAGTCAATAACAGTGGCAAAAAGTACAAATGGAAAACATTAGTAAATTTAAAAGCGAATTAGATACATTAAAGGATGATTTATTGTCTTTTAAACAAGGAGGATACATTAACCATCGACTTAATCAGCCCCAGACAATGCCAAGCCCCCTTCCAGACCCCGCAGCTAAACCCTAATGCAGACATCT